GAGTTCAACGTGAGCGTTAAATAGACAAATTCTGCTAAGTCTCGTATCTTCCAACATGTGAACCTTTGGGCGTACTGGGTACAAGAGCCTTTCTTCATCCAGCGCCCACGATGCAAGTCCTGGGCAATTTTTGTTTTGACTAGGCTACTATAGTGTTTTCGACTTAGTCAAGAAGCGGTTGTACGCAACACGGTAAGTCATGTAGTGCTGTTCCACCAGTCGAGCCCGCTCACGCGGCATTCTGCCAGGCCCAAGCTGTGCATAAATGATTGTGATTTTTGCCAGTGAAGAAACCACATCATAGATCCACCTAGTAGGCAAAATTTTCAGAACTTAGCCATTTAAACTTGAAACGGTTTGACTTGTAGCCTGCCAAAAAACTAGACCCTGGTTTGCACCTGTAGATCTGAACTTCATGGTGATCTTCACTGATCTGTTTCGAAGCAGCCAGCACAAAATAGAGCATCATCCTTGAAGACGCCCCATTGAGACGCTTTTGCCCCACATGTGGATAGGCAGATTTCTTCTTGATAAGAGTTTGGCTGGTAAACAGGAGAGCCCTGGCCCGGCAGCCATTGGGAATTCCTTGGCCACAATATCTCAAGAAACCCCCCTTGATTTGTTTGAAGGAGACCCCAAAGTTGCTTGGAGGGTTGAATACTTCAAAATTAGAAAAGCGTAAGCTGAGACTCTGTTGGCGTCACACCACTGCATGTACTTTCGGTACAGAGCCAGAAGCCGCTCATCCCGGGATCTCCCGTCAAAAAGATCTTGTTTATCAGTCCAAACGATGAATGTGGAAATGTAAACATCCACCAGAAGAGCCAAGTCTAACACATGGAGGAGATCAGGGTAAATCCCTTAGTTGGTCCAAAACCCAATCAACACTATTTTTTGGAAGGATGGGGAAGCAAGTTGAAAGGGAACCAAAAACCTTTCAGCGCAGCACTGAGTTTCTCCAAGGGGTAAACCCCGGTATTTGTGTGAGCGGAGTGGCGCCATTGCAGACAATAAATTCATTGACCGTGGTCAACCTCGTGTGGCAACAGCAAAACACAACATTTTTTAGATTCTTGGATACCTCACCTGATCTTACATTCATTTTCGAGCCATGTCATGCAGCGCTGGATGGACAACGAGAAGCTGATCCCTGTATGCTGCATCTCGTCCAAAATTGGTATATAGGGTGTCAGTCGAGTCATCTCCAGTGGAAGCAACAGCTCTGCATAAATAGCAACACTCTGTGTGCCTATAGGAGCCTTGGATGGCAGATTTTTGGTTCCAAAACAATGGGGTGGGTTCACCTTAGTTGGAGCTGGGGGACGGTTGAGACTGAACAGCGCTGCAATAAAGTCTTGGTCACCTTGTATCCCATCAAGAATAAAAGTGTAGGGCCCAGCTAGACGGGAGCCACTGAGATCTCGCCGGCGTGGATAGTACTCATCACTAAAGCTCCGGCCCCAGGGATCAGCGCTTGGATGGATCCCTTCTCCTTGGAGTTTTCAATTTGTTCAATCCAGTTGGGACGACCCTGCATGCAATGCACCCCCAAAACATACATTGAAAGCACAAACTACTTTTTCAGTTCGAGGCTCGCATGGATTGAAAACTCCACCGCAAGACTTCCAGAATGCGGGCCCTCGCCGCGCTTGTGGTGCGGTCTGTATTGCGGACAGCCACTAATATCCGCGAGTCTTCTGTAGACCGACCGCACGCCAGAACAGGCAAAATCGTGAGGATTTCGAAATGTTGCTGGGCATCAGCGCCATCACCATAAATTCTGAATGGAATAGTGGTATGAGCATCCTAGGGTCTTGTGATTGGCACAGCCATGGATAAAACCATACTACTTGGTGGGAACAGTGTCTAGCATCAAACTTTGCCATATTCAGCCATGCATCCCCTGCAGACATCTGCAAGGATTCGAAGAGGTCAAGATTTTCTGACCAGTAGCGCTCTAACCGGTCAGGCACGCCCAAGAAAAGCATGTGAAAATTCACTGGGTACTGGTACACAGAGGATACTATATCGTGCGGCAACATGACACATTGTTTGCATGTGCGGCGGCCACGGAGTAACACCTGCTGCTCAGTTTGTTGCACCTGGACAGAGAAGGCCAAACAAAGTCTGGGTGATTTGGTTGTGATGAGCTTTGGAACTATGACTGTGGAAACAAACCAAGAAACGAACAAAAGAATGCTAGATGGGAAGAAAGATGCCTGCACATCGAACCTGATCACTTGTTTGGGCTACTGCCCATGAAGTTGAAAGAGATGGACTGGACAGAGGCCCAAATCTGGAGAACTTTGTCACTGGTAAAAAGATAACAGCTTTCCAAACTACTGACGAGATTCGAAAAAAACTCCAGGGGCAAAATCTTCCGCCAGCTCTGCTTGACCACCCACTTGTTCAGGGTTCTCTCCAGACCCCAGCCTCCGCCACAAAGGAAGCGCTCGTTGAGCTGGAGAATCTCTTTCCTGAAGACCACAGTAGTTAGAGTTGGAACATAGATTTCAATTCTTTGGTTTCGAACTTGATCGATGAATCGGTGGCGGTATATTTTTTTAGGGCTACGCCTTTGCCTTGCCAAACCCCTCTTGCAGCCAAAGCCACGGGATTAAGGAATGGTTGAGCTTGCAGATGTCCACCACGAGCTTCCGCAGCTGCGTGCAAGACGCCTCAAGCAGTCCATGGACGCTAGCTGCATATGGGGTGGCGCGGATGGGTAAAGGAAATGGTGCTCATTTCTCAACGGTCATTTCCCACTTCCAACAGTGATTCCAAGTTCAAAGGAGTTTGGATTGGCATGGGACGGATTGAAGACCAAGCAGCCTTTCCATTGGCCATTTGTTTGAACAGGTCCTGCACTAGCACATCGATGATCTTCCGTTGTTCGGCCAACGCGAACCTGCACGGATAGCAAATACTGCGGGTGAGATTTTGTCATTGGAGCTGGGGCAGGGGTTGATCAACTCAAAGGAAAAGCAGTTCATAGGCGCATGACTGGCAGACAGGTTCTTTTTTGGCAAACGTATGGCTTCGATCGCTCACAGTGAACTACCCTGCAACCTGAGCTCTAAGCATGTTGAGGAACACGCATGCCCAAGTTTGCAAACAAATCCCCGCGGTGACACTTCGGTCAGCTACCAATGCCCTCATCACCAAAGCCAGAGTTGTAGCCCTGGAGATCTTCATAGTACTCTCCCCACTCTTCCAACCAAGAGTCGTCTTCCAGGTCTACTACCTCCTTTTCCTGAGCCTGTGGTTCCTTTTTGGTCTTCGCTTTGGCCTTCGCCTCTTGCTTGCGCTTTTCACCTTGGAGTCAGGACGGGTCAAAACAGTCTAACTAGTGTCCTCAAGATGGACGGAGCATTCCTTGAATCCTTGAATATTCTAGTTGCAATACCGCTGCATCACAATAGCTAGGCATCGTGCGGGATTTCCAGCCTTTGATGGTGCTAGCTGCATTCTCGAGGTCATTGAAAGCTGCCTGCAAGTTCTTGAGAGGAATATAGAACAATTGGGAAACCCAACATGGCCTCCAGCTTCGGTTTCTTCTTCTCATAGATGGCCCTGACTTGCTCCACAGAAAGCTTCTCGAAGATTGCTTGTTCCATCCTGCGACCCCACCAAAAACCAAACCTTGTCGGGAGGAGGGAAACTAAAAGGTCCTTGTGGCCAGGCTTGAAAAGAGAGCATGGTGGGCTTGAAGGCTTTGGCTGAGGGCCTTCCAGCCATAGTAGAGGCGCTAAATAGCATTGGCTTGCATGAGCGTGTGCCTCCAAAACCCCATTTAAATAAATGGCATTGCCTCCTGGTGTGGGATTCCCAAGGCAGTGATGTCCATGGCGGACTCTCTCGACTTTGCCGCTTTGTCACGAAGCCTTGATTCAGAACATACGGACGGCTGTTTCACAAAAAGGTCAGGTTGCACATGGTGTTGCAAAAAAAACATTCTATAGATTGGGAATGAGGAACGCTTTTATGTCTTTCTGAAGTTCCTTGTTCTCATCTTTCTTCTTGTCTTTGTGATTCCCATTCTTGGGACCAGTAGGTTTGGACCTGCCCTCCTTCTTGATGTCAGACTCCAATTCCGCAATGTGGGCATCGATGTTATCACTAATGGCCTTCTTACCTGCCTTTGAGGTCACAAGTCCACTGGCGCTGGTCTTGGTGCCGCCCCGGGTGATATCTGCACCTTGGACATGCGCCAAAGATTGCACCACTGTTGAGGGACGATTATGGTGGATTCAAGGCCAGTTGGCTTCCAAACTACCCTCCACACAGAAAAAGAAATGCAATTGAACAAGCCTTTTTCCAGACCATGTTGAAATCTTCAGTGGTACCGTGATACCATAATGAATTTTCCAAGCCACTGGAGATCACATGCTTCTTGAAGACCTTGTAGATCTTGAAGCGGTCGTCATCCGGAAACTGAGCCAGCGCGGCAGACGAGTGGTAGGGCGCGGAGTTTTTGTTAGAACATCTCTTGCAAAGTCCTTCATGTATGTTTTTCATGAACCTATCTCCAGAAGGTTGCAGGTTGGCACGTTCATGATTCATGAGTCCAGGCTCTTGTCACATCCCGATGCATCCAAGGAACCTGCGGATTTGATTCACCAGCTTGGCCTGCCGGAGCAGAGCTTGCAGAATGGCTACTGTGGCTTTCGGCAACTGGGCAACCAGCTTGCTTTGATCTTCTCAATGTAGTCCCTGGAAACACACTCCCATAGATGAGAGACACTTACAACCTGTCAAACCCACACGAGTCAATCCCACCTGCCAGCTTCCGTCCCACCATATTCCTTTTCGATCATGAACAACGGTAGCTTTTCATACCTATCCTCCCTCTTCTTCTCGCTCTCCCTCAGTCGAGCGGAGCCAAACACAACCACAGCACCCAGCAATGTACTGGGGGCAGAGCCGAACAAAGTAGGTTTCCACTTCTACCCCTGACCTGGTTGGCTTGGACATGTTGGGTGTGCATGTCTCAATCTGCTGTTGGGCAAACCAATGCAAACACAGTTCCACTCCACTCAGGTAAGAACATGTCTTGGTCGATGATGAACTCTTTGAGCATGTTCCAGCGCTCCTTTCGGCATGAAGCTACAGCATTGTACTTTTCAACCAAGCCAGGCTTGAGGCCCACCGCTGCCGTCACCCTGCGGCCCATAGAGTTGTAAAGGGCTCGGCGCTTCTCAATAGGGATTTGGTTTTGGGATAAACCACGGATCTTCTCGGCCGTCATCGGTCCAAGCCCTTCGACCTTGACCAGAAATGATGAATGAACACTTGTTCAAGCAGATTCCACGGCAGCGTTGATCCAAGGCACCTCAATGGTTCTGCCATCTCCGCCACTCTGGGCGACTGGAGCAGCCTGGCAGAGAGTAGCAGTTGGGTTAGGGCCCACTGGTGGTTCTTAGTCTGGGCTGAGGCCTCATGGATAGGGCCATCACCAACCTCAAAGGTTTGGCATGATAGCTGCAACAAGTATAGGATTGCAGATTGATTCATTTTCCAGCCGAGGGGCGCTAGCCCGCGAGAGCGATCTCGACCTGGAGATGGAATATATGACTGCATATGTATATATATATATATTCTATAGATATGTTTTCAAGAAAAATACATATATATGCGGCATCTTTTGCAGCTTCAAAACCGCTAGATAGAAAGAACGCAGCACCACTACCTGAGCCAAGTAGCATGGTTGAAGATTGATCGGCCGGAGATGCTTGGAATGGAATCTTCCGCTTTGGGGTGACAAAGGCATCCTCACCGATCAAACTGTCTCGAGAGTTCTTGGTTCTCAAACGCACCAAACCAAACTCTTGGCTTGGAACACGTGCGACCATCTTCTTGGAAGCCTAGACAAAAAGTTGAAAAACTTGGGCATAGTGTTTGTTTGGTCATGTATAACTGCTGATATACCTGGCAAGAACCAGCCTCAGGCTCAACTTCTGACACCTTCTTCCTTTTCTGCTTCGGAACCTCGCATTCTTCCTCATCCTCCTCCACCTCCTCCTCTTCTACTGTCTTCTTCTTTTTTCGCTTTGGAACCTCCTGCTCAACCTCACTGTATGCCTCTGCTTCTACCTTCTTCTTATTCTTCTTCTGCTGCTTCGGACTCTCACTTTCTTCACCCTCTGCTTCACCTCTACCATAGCCACCGGTGGCAATGAGCATCACGAAGTCATCAGCTTTCTCCATCTCTGCTTCTCCCTTCTTCTTCTTCTGCTTCGGAACCGCTTTTTCTGCTACCTCTGCTTCTCCCTTCTTCTTCTTCTGCTTCGGAACCTCACTTTCTGCAACCTCTGCTTCTCCCTT